GACCTTGTCTCAAGAAAAAAAAAAAAGAAAGAAAAAAGAAAAGAAAAAAAGAAAAACAAAACAAAAAACACTAATCATCAAGTCCAGCAGCCTGCCTGACTGGAGGAAACCTTGGCCTTCTTTTGCTGTCTCTAGGCACGATCCACTCCTGTTTGACTCACCCTTTCAGAAACAAGAGGCCTGCCCCTCAGGGCGCCTGAGGGCTGGCAAACACCCGTGGCTTCCCAGGAGCCCGAGCTTTGAGCAGTGGCACTTCTACTTTTCAAGCTCCCTAAGCATATTTGACCATGGGCTTGGATCACCCCACTTATCTGGGCCATAATCTTTAGACAGACTTCTCCTGGCCCCACAGAACTGCATGGAAAGTGGGTAGAAAACAATGATTCCTATTTTTTGCCCACACAGATTCTTTTTTTCTTTTTGAGACAGTCTCACTCTGTCACCAGGCTGGAGTGCGGTGGCGCGATCTCGGCTCACTGCAGCTTCTGCCTCCAGGGTTCAAGCAATTCTCCTGCCTCAGTCTCCCAAGTAGCTGGGATTTCAGGCATGTGCCACCACACCTGGCTAATTTTTGTATTTTTAGTAGAGACGGGGTTTCACCATGTTGGCCAGGCTGGTCTCAAACTCCTGACCTCAAGTGATCCCTCCACCTTGGCCTCCTAAAGTGCTGAGATTACAGGTGTCAGCCACTGCTCCTGGCCTTTTCTTTTCTTTTTATTTTTGAGACAGAGTCTTGCTCTGTCACTCAGGTTGGAGTGTAGTGGTGTGATCTCAGCTCACTGCAACCTCCACCTCCTGAGTTCAAGCTATTCTCCTGCCTGAGCCTCCTGAATAGCTGGGATTACAGGTGCCTGCCACCATGCCCAGCTAATTATTTTGTATTTTTTGTATTTCACCATGTTGGCCAGGCTGGTTTTGAACTCCTGACCTCAGGTGATTGGCTTGCCTCCCAAAGTGCTGGGATTACAGGCGTAAGCCACTGCACCCGGCCTTTTTTCTTTTAAAGAGATAGATCGGTCTTGCTATGTTGCTCAGGCTGGACTCCTGGGCTCAAGCGATCCTCCAGCCTCAGTCTCCCAAGTAGACCCACAGGAATTCCAAGGAGACAGAGACTTCCAGAATCACCCTGGCAAAGGTGGGGCTGAGCAGCTGGGGCTGGGGGTCTCTGGAGCACTGGCAACTCTGTGGTCCTTACCTGTGCTCTCTAGATGTTTGAGACGAGCCTGGGCAATATAGGGAGACCCCCATCTCTACAAAAAGTAAAAAAAGTAGTGGGGCATGGTGGTGTGCACCTGTTGTTCCGGCTACTCAGCAGGAGGCCGAGGAGGAGGACTGCTCGGGTCTGGGAGTCATGGTCACACCACTGTACTCCAGCCTGGATGACAGAGCGAAATCCTCTCTCAAAACAAAAACCAAGCTGGCACCTTGGAGCCTGGGGCTAATGGCTGGTTCCGGCACTTGCCACCAGCTGCACGATCTCAGGCAGGCCGATTCCCCTGTTTATTAAGAACATATTTGACCCAGAGCACCACCACCCTGAGTGGGGTATTCCCCGTTCGTTTCTCCATAGGCCGTTTCTGCCTGGCTGCCTGTATGGAGTGTGGTAGCCCCCAGGGGCGTGTTGCTTTGTTCCTGGGGCTCTGGGCCCTAGAACCCTGCACTCACTGGAAGTGCACTGAAGGCCCATCATGAAAGTTGTCTGCCATCATCTTGGGGGACCAATGCTGTGATTTCTCAGAACTGTGACCAATCCACTACCAGGACCCCATTGAGGATCTTGTTCTCACAGGAAAGCGTGGCCCCCCAGTGCTCTGAGTGCCTGTGCTCCGCCTGCCCTCCACACTTGCTTCCTGCTCCAATGCTTGGCAGTCCTCTGCCCGCAGGCAGCCTCCAGGACTCAAACTCCTCCACCTTCACCTGTCTAGTGACCCACTCAGCTCACAGACTCCCTTTTTCTTCCCTAACCTGCAGGCATGCAGGGCTTCTCATGCAACCCCCTCTCCTGCCAACCCGAACCCTAGGGCCCTCAGCCCTGCTGTCCTCTGTGGTCCCCACCTGGGTGAAAGCCCACGTGTTCCTGAGAGGCTCACACCTGTGCAGGCAAGTGCTGGCCACCAGCCTGGGCTCAGGACACTGACTGATACCTTGAAAGTGATGGGTAGATATTTCTTTAATGAATGGCACTAGGTTTCTACAGTCAGCATGCTTTCCCACTCTCAATTTCAAACCTCCTTCTTACTCCTGAAACCTCCTGGCCCTCCTGTCTTCACTCTCAGATGCTTCCTACTTTCCAGACAAGAGAGAAAGCTTCATGCTAGACCGGCTCCCTCACCACATCCAAAATCTTCTTTTCCTCCCGGAAGGAAGACGGATCTACTCTGTGAAGATCCCCACGAGGCCCCACTCCAAGTAACTCCTTCACTTGCTTTTTCAGAACACACGTACCCCTATGCAAGCTCCCCGCCTCCAAGATTAAACTTGAGTCCCCTATTAATGAAACAAACCTCCTCCCCTCCCAGCGGTCATCCTCCCTCATTCCTCCTTCACAGACAAACTTTGCCTCCACCCTCTCAACCCATCTGGCTCTTCCTTGAAGCGCTGGCCTAAGCTCAGCTCTCCGAGGTCGAGGACCAATGGCGGGGGAGCAGCCTTTCCTGCCGCCCCCATGCCTCACTGAGGGCGGGTGTAGGGGCTGCCCTCAGCCAGCTCCCTAGGCTGGCTCACTGCTGTGGTCTGAGCGTGGCCCCAAGTTCATGCTGGAAACTCAGTCCCCAATGCAACAGTGTGTTGAGAAGTGGGGTCTAAGAGGCAATTAGGTCATGAGGGCCCTGGCTCATGAATGAATGGATTAATGCCATTATCATGGGATGGGCTCCCGATAAAGTAAGTCAAGCCCCTTCCCCTCTCTCTAGCATGGGATGATGCAGCAGCAGGTCTTCCTCGCCAGAATCGGCCCCTCCATCTTTAACTTCCCAGTCTCCAGAGCCATGAACCAAATAAACCTCTATTGGTTCTAAATTGCCCAGTCTGTGATATTGTGATAGTAGCACAAAGAGACCAAGACATCCACTCCCATGGCTTTATTTTACCCACATTGAAGACTCAAGTCTTGTTCCCTGGCCCAAACCCCATGTACGCACTAGGTGCTCAAACAACCCTGAGGTGCACCTTCATTCCTGCCACATGGGGCCCCAGCTGCTCAGGGCCTCACACTGGTTCCAGCAGTCTGGTGTGCCCGAGCAGGCCCAGCAGCGCTCTGCGTCCCTTCAGCCAGAGCAGACTCAACAAGGTGGGTTGCCCCCAAAAGACGTAAGTCAGTTTACTGCGAGTCAGCTGAAAACCCCACAAACCTGGCAAGGAGGATACAGGATCTCGCAACAGATTTGGCTTTTTCCGAACATTACCAAAGCAATCTCTACGGCATGCGTCTGTCTTCTGTCCTCCAGATTAGCAGCTTTACAACAGTTTCCATGAATATGTGTTAAGCTTAACGGCCTGGGAGAAAATGAGTGGCAGATGGTGGAGGCAGTGTTAGGGAGCGACCCCCTTTCCCAGTCTTGGCCATTCACACACCCTGCCCCTAGCAATCCTGGTACCCTTTCTGAAGAATCCAAATTCACTTTTCAGCCAGGTGTGGTGGCTGATGCCTGTAATCCCAGCACTTTGGGAGACTGAGACAGGCAGATCACTTGAGGTCAGGAGTTCGAGACCAGCCTGGCCAACATGGTGAAACCCCATCTCTACCAAAAATACAAAAATTAACCCAGCGTGGTGGCAGGCGCCTGTAGTCCCAGCTACTTGGGAGGCTGAGGCAGGAGAACCGCTTGAACCTGGGAGGTAGAGGTTGCAGTGAGTCAAGATTGTGCCACTGCACTCCAGCCTGGGCGAGAGAGTGAGACTCCATCTCTAAATCAATAAATTCACTTTTCCCCTGGGCTCTCTCATTAGCAAACACAAGTAATGCCCATGTGCTCTAGGATATCGGGGAGGGAGTAGAAGGCTGGAGACCTCACCTGCCTTTGCAAGCGAGGGTCACACATGCCGTAGTCACAGGGATGCCCTGGAGCTGGCGACTTGCTTGAATTCTGCTCTGGGTGCGACCGGGTTCTGCAGCAGGGTACGCGATGGTGCTGCAGGTCAGTGACAGAAAGCTGACATTTGTGAAACGAGACACACAAGGGTTCCAGGCAAGTTAGCTGCCATTGGCTATTGGAAGAGTAGAGAGAAAACCCAAGATGCTGAATAAGACTCCTAAGTACTTAGCAGACATGCCACACTTAGCCTTTTTCCATAATGGGAACCCAAGTTTGGGTGGGTACTTCAATCAATTAGGAAAAATCAATAATCAATACTTGACTCGTCCAGTGTGTGCACCACTCACCCAGATTATCCTCAAGTGTGAATGCAGCTCAACCAGAAACTTAACTGATGACAGGACCGGCATCCACACTGACCTCTGACACAGAATGGTGCTACGTGCTGGGAAAGAGACTGAAGATTAAGCAGCTTGCTCAGGGACACTCAGAGGTTGCAGAGTTGGGCAAATTCAGGTTTCCTCTCTCTTGTACAGTCATATTTCCTTTCAATAGTAAATGGGAGAAAAAAGGACCCAGGCCAGTTCTGGGTATGCTAACTTGACCAATACGGTGAGCGGGGGTGGGGAGAACCTCCAAGTAATCAGGAATCATTAATGCATTTGGGTTGCAAAAGCCTTCAATGTTATTTTGCTCCATATTGAGGGCAAACATTGCTTGGGTTCAAGGACTAGGAGGGTATGTAGTTTAGTGTCCCTACTAAAAGAAGAATGAATGTTTACCCTCTCTTCTCTTAAAAATGAGTGGCACCAGACACAAGAGGAGACCAGGGCCCAGAGAACTCAACACTCACAGGTATTGAAAAGCTTTAGAAACTGATTTTACAAGTTCTGTTTTACATGAAAATTTTGTGGAGAAAGTCACCACTTTCTTTTTTTTTTCCAGATACAGTGCACACCGGCCAAATTGTTTTAATTTCCGAATTTATTAAAATGATTAACCTCAATACTGCAAGTGCATGTACAAAATATTTGTAAAAAATGTTTTTAATGAAACGTTAAAGAACTTACCTCAAATGCTGAAAAAGTCCTTTTTCATTCTTTCAGTACAAGGAATACATTGTATCTCAAAAGTATTACAACTCAGCAAAAACAATTTATAACAGTAATTTGAAAATGATTGAAAATTGAATACTTTACATATATTTCTATGATCATCTCCTAATTCTTACAATGCCAAAATCTTAACCAATCATTGCATAAGCTCAAGCTAAGAGTTTTATTGAACGCAACCTCTTCCAAACTGGTCAACGGTGTGTGGATGTCACCATTCCACATGGTGAAGTTCTACAGCAGATCCAGAACAGTTCTGAGGCCCCTACCTTTACCAACGGAAATTAGGTTTCCCTAGAAGGCATCAACAGTGGCTGCTGAGTGCTTGTGCATACCGACTCCTGAGAGGCAGTGATCCACTACCAAATGTCACTGCTTTGAGACCCATGGGAAGGTCAGCCTCCAAAGAGGAGGCCATGATAAAATTAAAACATCATAAATAAGTTACTAAAATTAAGCTTAAAAATGAAGAAAAATGGGAAATGCGTTTTGTCACTTTTTAAGATTGAAATTCCCAAAATAGCTATTGTTGGTATTCAAATAAGGTTTAAGGTTTAGTCTCTGAACCTCTTTTAAAAACAACCCAAACTAAGATGGGAATAGAAGAGGCGACCCTCTGCCCTCCAGCACCTCCAGACACAGGGTCTACCTTCATCGTCCTCAGTGGCAGGGGTTCACATTGCTATGCAGGGACCCCATGAGGGCTGGATGTGCTCTGAAAAGTGCTCCGGGTGCCTCGGACAGGTGCTCCTGAGAGGCTGTGTGGGCTGCCCTACTTCATTGGTGAAGACCTCCAGACGCAGCGAAGGGGGGTGTGGGGGAGTGTGGAAGGAGGTCTACCACATGCTTTCCAAATGCCTGAGGAGTTTGACTGCACCACAACAAACAAGGATGAGACTATGTAAGACTACAGAAGTAGTTCCTTAGAGAACCAGGAGAAAACAATCTACCTTCTAAAAATGTTCGTAAGTCTTATTAATTTCTACTTGGAACCTATGGGCAATCAATAGTCTTAAGGAGCTTCATTTAAATAATATCCCCCCAAACCTGGAAACTAGCAGGAATCAATTAGTAGTAACAGTAAGCATTGAGATTTTCTCCACTGGACTTTTCATTACCTTCAGATTCCTTTTAATATTTTAAGACATGGGCTACTTTCCTATAGACACTACACAAATCCCCTAAATTGATTTTTACTTAGGAACACTGTATATCAGAAAGTACATGTACACATTTCCCAGAAATAAGAGAGAACTACTGGTGTCAAACACCTGTTACAGATTTATATTCCCAAATTCTCTGTCCAATGATTTGCAAAATAATCCAGAGAAATGAAAAGAACCTGGTATGGAACATAAAGTAGTAATAAAAATTTGCTCATTAAGTTAATTAAAATTAATTTCTCAAAGTGCTTCAAAAAAACAAATTAAATCTGACTCCTTTTTGTTTAACTGATAATATAGTCAAAAAAATCTGATATTTTCTTAATTAACATAAGCCAAGAACTCCCACTGATGCAGTGCTTAAAACTATATATTTATAATTTCCTATTTTATTGGCATGAATATTTCTAAACTTAAAAACCTTCCTGGTAAGTTCTTTTAATTTCTTATGACAAAAATTTCTCACAACACACAAATATTTACAACATATACATTGTTTTCAGTTCTTTACATTGAATCTCAAAGACAAACTTTTTTTATAGGTTACCACAGAACAAAAGCTGTGACTCATGTTTTTATTTCATAAACTATTATAAGTTAAAGTGAATAGATTTTTTTTTAATATTCCTTGTAGCATTTTACAAGTGCAACAGAAAACTTGAAGAACCAAATTAAGATAGCTGTAGTTCATTAGATAAATGTTGCTTGTTGTCATCACGTTGTTCACAGCAAATTTTTGAAAAAATAAGCACCAATCATTCTTGCAAAGAACAATTTTATCTAAAAGGATTGAAAAGAGTTAAATACAAGGTTTTTAATTTACATGACAAGCAATAAATACGCCGTATCGAAACTCATCCCACACACTGCTACCCTCGTACATATAATGTACTGAAAAGTGAGCTGTCACGTAGGTCATTGTATTTTTTTTTTTTTAAGAAACCAATCTGACTCCCAACCAATGGTTTGTGATATTAACAAAGGCCACAAACAGTACACCTGGGCCAGCAAACAGTGTGAAACTGACAAAACTCCAAGGGGGAAACATCTAGCAAATAAATCAAAAAGCCAAAGATCATTGCTGGTGATATTAGCATACTAGAAACCCTTAATATGCTGCTACTATGATTTGTTTTAAATTATTGTTTAGTCATATATTAAAGAGCCAGCTGATGCTCTTACAGTTAAAAAAAACTGTGTAGCCACATTACTGTTTTCAACGTCCTGTGTGGAAAGTTGCTATCACTGTACAATTTTGCTTGAGCCTTTATTTTACAACAGGGCTTTACCTCTAACTCAGAATTGCACGTAAGAAGGCTATTTAAAAAGTACGATAAAAATTTGCACAAATCAGACTTAAGAATTGAGTCAGTACGCTGTACACTTTCTACAATAGTATGCTGATAAGTGAAGGGACAATAGAAGTGCTGCCACTAAACTTTCAGTTGAGGAATAATTGACTGGAATTTTTTTATTTCTTTAAAGTAGTTATCCCAGGTCAAATGAAGACCAAGAGCTTAGGCATTAAGCCTTAAAGACTGATCTTCTCTTCTCCTTGAAGAAATGTCAATATCTATAGAGTCTTTTCCAACTATTAACCTCAGTCGCTTAGCTGGAGGAAGAGGAATAAAATCGTCTTCAAAGTCATCATCATAGTCATCCTCCTCTTCATCGCCCTCAGAAGAGGACGAATCATCTGTACTTTCTTCCTCATATTGACTATAGTCATCCACCTCCATTCGAGACTCCAAGAGAGAAAGAGGATCACTGCAGCACACCCCATTTTCATGAAGCCCTTCTGTATAAGACCCCCTATTTTCCTCATCTCGTTTTAGTTGGATTTTTAATTTTGTAGAACTACTGCCTGATCCTGAGTTAAATCCATTATTAAGCTTTGCTACATAGAGATTGTTATCGTTGTCATGGTCTTTGCTTAACTTGATGCTTATTTTTGAAGAATTCATTCCATCATTCTCTTGGTCATTTGTCTTGCTGCTGCTATCATGACGCCTACGAAGAGTCAATTTGGGAATCCCAGAGTTATTTTCTAGGATTAACTGTGCGTCATACCTTGTGATTCGCCTCTTCTTTTTACTTTTTGCAGTTCTAAAGCTGTCTTTTGTTTTGAAGCTATCTGATGTCACAACTGAACAACCAACGGGTGAAGGAGCACAGTCTGTGTAGTTCACAGGCATGCCCACAGTGCCACTGTGCTCACCCTGGTCAGAATGGGGCCCCATCAAATCTGGTACCACATCGTCTTTTCCAGGAGAATCACGCACTGGAGTAGATTCCTCTATTTTCACAAACTGTTTCACAAGTTTTCCTTGTCGTGACTTCTTTTTGGACATGCCTGTGTCACTCTTATGACACTTGGCCTCCCCCTTTTGCGCAGTCTCATGAGCCAGTTCTTCCTCCTGCACCACGGAAGCTGGCTGTGGCTGTTCCCCACTGTCAGGGCAAGGTTCTGTCATACTGCTTTTATAGCCATCCAACGTATTTGGTTCAAGCTTGATGTCAGAGGCCTCCTTCAGATTTGTTCTTGTCCTCACTGACCGCCGGGTTATGTAGGTGCAGGGCGAGCTCTCCCCCTGCGAATGAGCACCTCTCACAGGATTCTGTCTGTGTTCTCTCGCCGCATGTCTAGTCAAGCACCCGCTGGCAACTGCGGCTTGGGCTGGTCCCTCTGGCTCCTTATCTTTTTTAATGGGCAAATTTTTATATAGAACTACTTTAGGCTCTTTCAGTACTAGGTTTCCCATTTCGAGTTTTCTTGAAGCATTCTTTTGCTCCAGCCGCTTGCAATGATTTCTCAATTTTATCTTTGAAAGTAAAGGCTTTGCAGGCTTCTTCAGTTTCTTTGGTACCCTGGAATTATTTATATGAGTTAGCTTAGATGAGGTAGAGTTGGAAGAAGCTGGAATTCTTGACATAGATTGCCTCGTTAACGTTCTGCTCTTGCTATTCTTTTTTACACCAACTGAAGATTTGCGGTTAGAAGCTGTAAGGTTAAAGAGAAAAAGGTGAAAAACAGCCTTGGTAACACCAGAGTTCAAGAAAAGAATGCCCAATCCCAGGCTATTAGCTACAGCGCGTTTAGATTACACAAACGCCCACACGGCTCCTGCCGCAGATTCTGCCGGCGCACCTGCATTCCCTGCACTGCTTGTCTTTGAAGTTCTTTTCTAATTTATGGGGCATTTATTCATTTTCGAGGTAAGCAGTGGTATGGTTAAGGAGCTTTTAGCACAGCGGGGACCTAGATTCCACTCTAAGCTTCTTAATCTGTCATGACACTGGCCCAAACAAAGGCTTTCTCCTCCTGATTTAGGAGTTTCCCACATAAAAGATTTGAAAGAAAGTTAACCTTGTTTTTTCCTTTCACAGATTCTCCTTAGTCATTTAAAATGTTTCTAAAATCCATTACTCATTAACCCAAAGGAAGTACAGCACTTGGCCATTAACATAGAATAGAAATATAATACTCATGGGCTCTAAGGAACAAATACTATCGTAATGGTTTCAAACAAGAAAAACAGATCTTAGATCTTAAGAACCACATATTATCACTCTGAAAAGTCCAGTCACTATCAAAAAAGAAATGCACTACTCTAAACTGTCCCCTTCAACTCCGTGCGGACCAGAAGAGGCAACCGGTGGGCTGTCAACTTAGAAGAGCTGCAAAGCTTACTTGGCCCCGTCCCTTCAGTGACTGCCCAGTGCCAACAATCACAGTGAAGGAAGATGCACGCTGCCAGAATTGTACACTCTCAGGACAAAGGGAGATCCAACTTCTTTTCTCCATGGCCAGGACAGAAAAGGGTTACAACTGACCCTAATGGTAATCACAACCTGAGCAGTGATGAACATGTTTCAATTTGAGAATGAGTGTATTCTTATCCACTGGAATTATACAGAACTACTAGGTAGAAAATATTTTTTAAAACATAAGGATATTTAGATAATTCTTTCACTACAGAATTTCTTTATGCTTGCAAGTCTTGCCTACAAAGTGGATTGAGTAGATGTGCTGTCAATATAAGGTATAAAGTTGAATGGCTTCTCAAAAGGCTTCATATGTGACTCAAGCTTAAGCTGCTCCTGCAGTGTCTCTGACCTTGCCACTGACTTTCTGCTATGTTCATTTTTCCTCTGTATTGACATGCTGGACTATTATTTATAGAAGTTTATACAAGTCAGCGTCTCAATTACCTAGTTCCTGCATGTCCAGTTGAAAAACTTCTTCCTAATCAAAACATTCCATTTACAGATTTGCTAGAGATAACAAAACGAATCACCACCACCTCTCACCAGAACAGGGAGAATAAAAACAATAAAATATGGGTAAGCTCAGCATACTGCCCACCCAAGTGAGGACCAGGATCCTGCAGAGAAAGTCTCTGTCGCTTTCTACATGCCTCAGTTTGCCAGGGAAACTGCCATTCTGCCCAGCTAAGCAAGTAAGTTACCCTAAGTTCAGTTTTTCTTGAGAGGAGCAAGAATGCATCACAAGCATTCCAAAAATTATCAAACCACCAAGAATATAAGGCTCTGTACCTGAGGTCAGGAGTTCGAGACCAACCTGGTCTCTACTAAAAATAGAAAAATAAGTCAGGCATGGTGGCATGTGCCTGTAATCCCAGCTACTGGGAAGGCTGAGGCAGGAGAACCACTTGAACCTGGGAGGTGGAGGTTGCAGTCAGCCAAAATCTAGCCATTGTACTCCAGCCTGGGAGATAAGAGTGAAACTTCATCTCAGAAAAACAAGAACAAAAACAAAGAAGGTCCTGCACATACAGACTGACTCGTAAGTGGCTTCGGGGTACATAAACCAGAACTCACAGCAAGGAGATTCACGGTTTGAACCAAGAACATACTTACACATGTGGGCTGCTACCAAGGTGGTGCCCTATTTTTAGAACAGTAGGAGTGGTGAAGTTTGAATATGATTCGATTTGAGAACAAGTGATTTATTATCCACTGGAACTATACAGAACTACGTGGTAGCAAATACTTTTTTTTTAAAATAAGAAATTTAGAAAATAAAAAAAAATAGGGAACTCTTTGGCTAAAGGGTTTCTTTATGCTTACGAGGCTTGCCTACAAGGTGGACTGAGTGGACGTGCTGCCAACATAAAGACACACTAGTGAAGAAAGGACTGCACTGCTTGCTTCCCTTCACTTGGCTTTCTCAGATGTGGCTACGATGATCCTTTGCTCATTCTATGCCTCTGCAAGGACCAATTTATGCTCAATCTTAATGGTTTCCAACCTTTTATTTCTCCTCTTTCCATTCCACTCTCATGATGCACCTGCAAGCACACTTACACAACAATCACATCCATGTCCCATTCTCCACAGCAATCCCCGCTGTCTGGGTCCAGCCTGCTCTTCCAATGAGACAGCCTTTGGTGATCCAACAGCACACACTCTTCAGCCCTTCCCTTTCTTCATTTCTCTGAATGTGACACTGACAACCACTTTTTCTTGAGAAAACCTTTCTTCTCTTGGCTGTCAAAGAGAGCGCACTCTCCTGGTTTTCCTTCTCCATCCCTGGCACCCCTCCTTCATCGGACCCCTAGACTGTTATTCTTCACGTCTGTGCAGTCCTAGACCCCAGGTGATAAGCACCCATTCTCCCATGGCTATTACCACTTACAAGCTGACAGTTCCCAAACTCTAGCCAGACTGTCTCCTAAACTGCAGACCCAGGTCACCAAATACCGACTGTCTCTAAGCCTCTAAATGGAACTCACCATCAAGTCTCCTGACGACGTCCCCTTTTGAGGTCTCCATCTTGGCCAATACCACCACCACACGCCCAGCTGCCGAAGCAGAAAGCTGAAGGCCCTCCTTGACTCCTGCTCTCCTTAACTGCCTCACCAAGCCAATTACCATGTGCCGCAGAGTCCACCCCTGCAGTGTCACTGCAACCTGTCTACCCTTCCCTGTCTGCAACACCACAGCCTCCTGCATTGAACTATGGCAGTTTTGTCTTTCCTATTGTTTTCCCAACAATCTGTTTACCACCACATAGCCAGGATGACTTTCCTAGTGTATCATGCAGCTTCTGGGTTTTAAACCTTTCAGCAACCTAATGTCCTAAGAATGAAGTCTAAAATTTTAACCTGTGCTCACATCTTTCTTCTTTGCCTGTACTAGTCATGAAGAAAAGCCTTGACTCAAACTCCCCTCTGTCTATAGAGCTGTCTGAAAGGCCCTCTGCTTTGAATATGCTTCACTTAGCCAACTTCTCATCCCCCTGTAAGACTCAGCTTAGGCAACAACTCTCTCAGGGAACCTCTCGGGACTTTCTCTGCAATGCCTTTCCTATGTCTTCTCAACACCCAAGAAGCTCCTTCCTTGGCACTTATTTTTACATGTTGGATGACTCCCATTTTATGGTGATTCTGAATTCAGCTCTCCCCATCCCATCCCTCCTTCCAAGACATTCATTGTTGACAACAGAAAACCAAAGCACTTTTATGGGTTTGTGTCTAAACTAACATAAACGCTCCATTTTTGAGTACAAAATGGATATGTATTTGATGCTATGTGTTGTATTAACACAGAGATTTCACTTACATGTTACCAATGTATTCTAAATTTTTTCGAAAAGCATTTTCTCATCAAAAGCCCTGTCAAAAGGTATGCTCATCAAATCAAAGGGAAAAAAAGGGCAAAGAATATGAGAAATGTGACAAAGATGAGGGTCCAGTAGAGTGACAAGAGTCCTTCAATGTCCAAAAAAGCTGCACTGTCCTGGCAGGGGTTGAGAATTTCAGACAGTGAAGGCTAAAGGAGGAAGACAGTGGCCACAATGACAAATTAGAAGTCAATGATTTTTAAAAGTCCTTCAAGAAACCAAGGACTAGGACCTAAGTGGGGTAAGCACCTGTGTTTGAGCTTGCTCTGGCACTTATATGCCTCGTATGACTCTTCCCCTAGTGGCTGGGACAAATCTCAAATGCCTGGACCTGGACAGTAATTTTAAGTGGGGGTACACATTCTTTTCAGCAATTACTACATGCTAGGTACTGTGCAAAATGGCCACACTCATCCTAATAAACGCCTTTGGAAGGAAATGCGATTAAAGCTATGTGAAAACCAAGCTCATGTGGACTACTGTGCCTAAGGTCATCCATCTGGTGAACAGAAGAGATGGGACTTGTTAGGCTTCCTGAGCATTAAAATGACTCTTATGCTGCCTGTAAGGCATACTACAGAAGAATTATGGTGTTGGCCTCAACTTATGGGTAAAGGCCCAACTGCATGGCTGTTATGGTCACTTCAGGGTATCCTCAAAATCATAAGGCAGGGTGGCACAAGACTTCCAGCCAGACAAAAGAGTTGTGAGCGACACCAAAGCTTTCCTGAGTACTCAGGCTGCACTGGAAATGCGCACCATCAGCGTGAACTAAGATAATACAAGGGCCACAGTCGAGCATCTCCAGAACTTGAGGATCCAGAAAGCCTCTGACAGGACTTTAAAGACCTCGGTCTCAAGGGATTTACTCAGCACAAGCAGCTTTCATCTGGCGTGACCAGGAGAGACTGCCAATGGCTACCTGGAACAGGGGGTTAGAACTCGGAAGCAGCCCGATGGCTCAGCAGAAAACAGTGTTCAGATCAACTGATGACATCCGTGACAGGGCAAGAGTGAGAAGCAGCGCCCCAGCCTCTGCATCTAGGACAGGTGCTCCATAGTTAAGATCAACCTCTCCCTTTGGCCGATTGTTCTGGGGCTTGTCCTGACTTGTGGCACATGCAGAGACCCGTGTCTGCATCTCCACAGATTGCTCGCGAGCTTCTCTCTGGTCTCACATTCCCTATCACAGCACTAACTTCAGAGGGGGCACACCAGTCAGCGAGGCATGAGGCCTGAAAAACCAGACTCCTCCAGTCCTGGCATTATAATTCAGACCTGGGGACTGGATTTGTGAAAACGGATTCCTTGTTGTCTCTACTTCTGTATGCTAAAGCAGAGTCACCCTGTAGCTCTCAAGGTACTTTCCAATAAAGCACCTGTATGGAAGAAAATTTTCTTCCAACTACTCAAAACATTTCTTTATACATGTGTTCAAAGAAAGCAGTTCCTCTATCAGCTGCCAAATTCTAAACGAACCACAGGATAAAGACCAGCAGCCACACAGAAAAAGCACTCCACAAACACGCACAGCATGTGCATCCACCACCCTGGGAGGAGGGCCTAGCAGTGCTGGCTTTCTGGCAGGCTGTGGCTTCCAGAGCCTTTCTTTCAGACAGGTGGAGTGGACGGCTCAGACAAACACCAAAATAAATACAGCCTAAGAGAACACATGTAAGAACTCAAGAAACCCTTATGTGAACATAACATCCAATGGTCTCAGAGACAACCAAAGCCTCGAGCTCCTTCAAAGAGAGCACTGAGCCATGCCTATCCACTCTGCCCACGACCTCAGTTTGTCACACTGACCCCTGGATTGCTCCAATCATGCTGCGGAAAGGGAATTGGAATAAGGCAAGCACCCCAATACCAGCAGTCACTGCAAAATGTGCACCTTTCTTCTGTAAGGCTGAGACTCCAGCTTAAAGCAATTATTCTATCCCTCCAAACTTGAAAGCCTGTGCCTCCAGTCTGTTCTGCTGACTTATGCACCTTTCTTCTCCTGGAGCTAAGGCATAAGCTCCCTGAGGAAAGGGCCCGTCTCAAACATCTTTGTATGTCTTCAAGAACTAGCAGGATTTCAATAAGTATTTAGTTTATTAATATATATTCCCAAATATTAATTGGTTTAATAAATATTAATAAATGGTTAATTAGTACACCCAACGTCTTCCAAAAGTTATCTGTATTCTTATCTTTTAAACTAAGTAGTATATTGAGTTCAGTAGCTTATACACTAGTAATGAAGTTACTACTTAAGCATAAAACACCTGTATCACACAGCCATTCAACATGGGCAACTCTGTGGCTGTCTCCACATACAGACGGCAGCACGAACCTAAGTGTTTTTGTTTAAAAATCACAGGTCTCTGGCCAGGTGCAGTGGCTCACACCTGTAATCCCAGCACTTTGGGAGGCCGAGGCAAGGCGGATCACCTAAGGTCAGGAGATCGAGACCATCCTGGACAACATGGTGAAACCCTGTCTCTACTAAAAATACAAAAATTAGCTGGATGCAGTGGCACATGCCTGTAATCCCAGCTGCTCAGGAGGCTGAGGCGGGAGAATCGCTTGAACCTGGGAGGTGGGGGGCTGAGGCTGCAGTGGGCCTAGAGTACGCCACTGCACTCCAGCCTGGGGACAGAGACTCCGTCTCAAAAAAAAAAAAAAAAAAAAAAAGACACAGGTCTTACTATGTTGCCCAAGCTGGTCTCAAATTCCTGGGCTCAAGTGATCCTCCCACCGCAGCCTCCCATGTAGCTGGGACTACAGGTGTGCCACCATGCCTGGCTTTTAAGTGTTATGTCTGCATTGATAAAATGGGCTTCACAAGTCTCCAGTTTCACCAAGGAACCAGACTCAGAAAACAAATGTTCGTTATGCTGCATTTATTATGAGAATCAACAGTCAACAGTTAATGATTGACTAACTCTTGTTCACTTTGGACATTAACGAAAAAGACTGGAATAGGGCTACAGCACTGCTTTTACGCTACACGGGTTATGCTTGGACTCTGACTCCCAGCAGCAGGTAGATTCAGGAATTCATGGTAGTGACATTCACCATCATGGGAAACACCTTCCCTTTTCTTCAGGATTCTCTGTAGTGGAAGAGAGCACCCAGTGTTGGGCTGAGAACATCTGAAAGTAGGGAGAAGAACCTAAAATAATCAGTATCTCAGAGGGCTCTAAGGTGCCAAGAAGTCTCACTGGACATTTAAGTGCCAACAAAGGCATACTTTCAGAATCACCAAGTCAAAACTTTCTAACTTCTGTCTCTCTCAGAGACAAGTCAGACTCAAGAGTCTACTGCTTTAGTTGCAACTACAGAAAACTGATGGTACCCAGAAAAACAGGAGCAATTAGAATGGTTCCAATATTTCAAAGCTCCACAAACAGGATGTGCTTTCCTTTGCCCATTTAGGGTTTCTTCTCTTTCCTTTCTCTTTGTTTAGTCTTCGTTCTCTTTTTCAGTTTCCATCAGATCTTGCCCCCACACACCACTGGAATCTCAGAGGTTGCTTCTTTCTCCTTTCCATCTTTACTCCTACTTTCTGGAGTAGCCAATACAGCATGTCACAATACGGCACTGTTCAAAATGCTCCTCTATCACAATTCTGAGTCTGGTACTGGTGGTCTGTTGAACTGAGTCAGTTTGTTTTGAAAAAGGTCAGCAAGCAATGAAAAGGTGGAAGCCTTGAGGCCAGAAGCTATGAATTCCCCAAGTCCATCATCTTTTCTAACAAACTGGCTAGGTACTGGAATGTACAGAGCCTAGTAATTCTACTCAGTCCTTTTGTCTTCTTTCAGGACCTAGCGACATCATCACAGTCTCTAACACCTTGAAAATGTTTAAAACATATGATGACCTTGGAACATATGACGAAGAACTCATATCCAGTTACCAAGGTATTCAAGAAAAATAGTCTAGAGGATGGTACTGAAGTTGGAGGTGGGATACCAGACTGTGCCTCTGTACTCAAATCATGTCTAGAGCCTTGAAGTGCTGCCAAAGCTCACAAGTCCCAGTCTCTCTCAGTATTTAAAAGTTTAAAACTACTGAAGCACACTTTATAAAGCAAATTGTGTGAAAATACTTTTAAAAGATATGCTTATCAAATCTCCCTTACTTACTTGCATTGTTTTTTTCCTGAGTGGTATCTGCATCAGTGTTAGAGCTGACAGATTGACTGTCTGAATTTTTGCTGCTGTCACCTAACTTTTTAAGCCTATTTAAACGTTTATCTGTTTCTCTGAGTCCATATTTGCTATTGATAACAGGAGCAGGCGCAGGCAGTCCCACTCTGGATTTAAAAGCACCAGTTCCCCGTCTGAAAGAGAAAATAGCACAGGTTAAACAAACAGAACACACTTTCTTATAATAAGCTTAACTGCTGAGGGTACTTGGCTACAGGTTAACAGATGCGATGAGCTGCTGAGGCCTTAATCACCACTGGAAACCCAAGACTTGAACTCACAAAGGAAATTAAGCATCTATATTATAAAATTAACTTTAAATCTATACTTAAAATAATAAAACAACTTGTTATGAGTATTATCAATTGTTAATAGCCTATGAGAAACTACCGGACCTTGTAAAATTTCTTTTCCTTTTTTTTTTTTCGAGACAGGGTCTCACTCTACCGTGCAGGCTGGAATGCAGTGGCATGATCATGGCTCAATGCAGCATCAACCTCCCAGGCTGCAGCAGTCCTCCCACCTCAGCATCCCGAGTATCTGGGACCATAAGAGTGTACCACCACCAGCAGCTAATTTTTAAATATTTTTGTAGAGATGGGGCCTCGCTATGTTGCTCAAGCTGGTCTCCAACTGCTGGGCTCAAGGGATCTTCCCAGCTGGATCTCCCAAAGTGTTGGATTTACAGGCGTGAGCCACCACACCCAGCCCTTTAATAAACACTGCCAGATTACTTTGCCAAAGGAATAGAGTAAATCATGGTCCTACTAGCATGGTATGAGTTCCTGTTTCTCCACATCCTCACCAATGGTACATTGTACTCCTTAAATTTTGCCAAAGTGGGCCGGGCACAGTGGCTCACACCTGTAATCCCAACACTTTGGGAGGCTGAGGTGGGTGGATCACGAGGTCAATAGATAAAGAGACCATCCTGGCAAACATGGTGAAACCCTGTCTCTACCAAAAACACACACAAAAAATTAGCCGGGCGTGATGGCGGGCGCCTGTAGTCCCAGCTACTCGGGAGGCTGAGGCAGAAGAATCGCTTGAACCCGGAAGGTGGAGGTTGCAGTGAGCCAAGATTGCACCACTAAACTCCAGCCTGGTAACAGGGCAAGACTCCGTCTAAAAAAAAATTTTTTTTTTTTTGCCAAAGTGATGAGTGAAAATGAGTACCTAATCTTGTTTTAATCTCCTTGTTTATGGTCATTTTTTTTCCTGTGAAGCATCTCTGCGTCTCTTTCTCCTTTACCTTTTTTCCTATTTGACTGTCTTTTCCTTATAAGCTTATAGGAGCTTTTTGTTATCAGAATTTTTTTTTTTTTTTTTTCCTGCGACACAGTGTTGCTGTGTCGCCCAGGCTGGAGTGCAGTGGTACAATCTTGGCTCACTGTAACCCCTGCCTCCAGGGTTCAAGCAATTCTCCTGCCTTAGCCTCCTGAGTAGCTGGAATTACAGGTGTGCACCACCAGGCCTGGCTAATTTTTGTATTTTTAGTAGAGATGGGGTTTTGCCATGTTGGCCAGGCTGGTCTCGAACTCCTGACCTCAGGTAATCCACCTGCCTCGGCCTCCCAAAGTGCTGGCATTATAGGCGTGAACCACATGTGTGTGGCCTTTGCTTTAAATTTTCTGGAGTACAATGTGCAGTACTTGTGAACATACTACAACTACTACTGTCAGCGGAGCACAGAAACATGCTTCAAACGTATCCTGGAGAGTCTAGCGCAACTCAGTGTCTGCACACGACTCCATCCATTCTCGCTTCTTCAAAGAGCCTCTTCCTTTTACCCTCTGGCTCTCGGCACAGTGTGTGTCCCCTTCACTGAACTGCCCTGACAGCTGGCACTGTGCTGGTCTTGTTTATCCCACATGTACCTGGCCTAACATTAAGTAACTGCTCTGTTAATATGTAATAAATAAGGGAATGAGCTCCTAGATGCATCTTCCCAGCTAATTTCTGTAAAGGCAGAAATAATTTGGTGTTTCTGAGAATTTTTTTTTTTTTTTTTGAGACGGAGTCTTGCTGTGTCGCCCAGGCTGGAGTGCAGTGACCGGATCTCAGCTCATTGCAAGCTCCGCCTCCCAGGTTCACGCCATTCTCCTGCCTCAGCCTCCCGAGTAGCCGGGACTACAGGCGCTCGCCACCTCGCCCGGCTAGTTTTTTGTATTTTTTAGTAGAGACGGGGTTTCACCATGTTAGCCAGGATGGTCTCGATCTCCTGACCTCGTGATCCGCCCGTCTTGGCCTCCCAAAGTGCTGGGATTACAGGCTTGAGCCACCACGCCCGGCCGAGAATTTCAAGAATATATGCAGCCAATCTTGAAATCAAACTGCTCAAACAGTCTAACAATAGCCATGGCCACTATTCTGTTCCATTTAAAAAGGACTTCCACATGTTTCTATTTCTCACACTAACCCTGTGGAGTAGGTGGGATTATCCCTTTTTCACCAGTGAGAAAACAAAGGCTCATGAAAGAGAACTAAACCGCTCAATGAAAATGGCTATACCTGCAGTTCTAAACCAGGGAAAGAGCTGTTTCAGTGTTGGTTTGGAATCCTGAGTATGTGGTTGTGTTTTCAGGACCGCCTCCAAAAACTTCATCATATTTATTTACTCTATTCATTTGTTTACCAAATATTTATCAAGGACTTACTATGCGCCAGGGTACTGTTCTGTATTCTGCGGATATGGCAGAAAATGAAACAGATACAAGCCCCTGCCTTCATGGAGCTCATATTCTAATGGGAAAATAACCAGAAACCAATAATTACAGTTAACATGTATGTATTAACTGTGTGCTATTCTACATGCTTTATAGGAAATAACAAATTTAATCTTCATATCAACCCTACAAAATAGGTTCTGATGTTATCCCCATTTTACAGACAGGGAAATTAAGGCACAAAGCAGCTAAATGACTTGCCTTACACATCACATAGCTAATGAAATGCAGAGTTGCAGGATTCCAACCCAGGCAGTCTGATTTCAGATGACAGGCACTTAACTGTTATACTATGTTTCCTCTACAAAATGATTTTGAAGCATTATTGAACTATAATTAAACTACTTTATAGATTAAAGGATATGCTGTGGACTGGTCAAAGATCTAACCAATGTGAATAATTTTTATGTAGAAAAAGGTAAATTTTATGTCCCTCTGCCCTGGCAAAAATTCAGCAGCACTAGGAACTGGTTTTCTGCCACACCTTTATGGTAAGGAGCCCACTCAACGTTGGGAGAGAGATGGCTACGGTAGCACTGTGACTTTATGACTCCATCCTCTCTCACTAAACAGATGGAAATCCCTGGCTATCCAGAAAGGAGGGAAATGGTGACTGGGGTATCTGCCCACTGCAACCTCTAGGCTGGCTATTTGTAGGTGTTTTAAAGTGGGAGAAGTGACACTAATAACTTTGATCGTATCTCCAAAAGCAGTACGAAGTAGAAAGAATGAGGACTCTGAAGTTAGGCTGACTGGGGTCTGATACTTATGTTCTGGTACTTGCAATGTGGGCACCTCCTAGCTCTTTCATGAATACCTGTGAGAACTGAACAAAGTGAGGTGAGTAAAGTGCCTGGCACAGTGCAAGCTGTGCAAAATGGACTTCAGGTTTCCTTCTCTGTGGCCTGTGTGGTCTGCACTGCCTTCGAGGGGACTCTTTCTGCAGCCCTTGCCTGCCTGCGCCTGTGGCGCTCCCTTCATGGTGCTCTCATGTACAGAAGTCACTATGATGAGCAATATGAACTGCTGGTCCTGCCAATGCAGATGTGGGGGATTTCTGTAAAGACTCCAGGACTCTGGATGAGGACGAGACACAAAAAGAGGCTCCTTATTGAATGACTGATAGCAGGTAACAAATCTTAAGAACTGTAAAACTAAAATTCCAGAAGACGCAGCTTGATAATATGCAAGATGGCTATCAGTGGGAACTCCACCTGACATTATGACAGGGGCAGCCCCGCTCTGGCACTGTGTGTGTGATGTGTGGGAGCTATGAGCCATTCTCTCCTTAAGCACAGCTGTTTTCTGGCCCACTCTTAGCTGGTAATATTAAGATTTTAAAGGGCAATTTAAAATTTATTTAAGGACATTCCAGTGTCCCTAAATAGTTGTGCAGCATTTGACTGTGTTCATATACATTGCACCGGCTGCTATGCTAAAGAACATAAAGACTATCTCTGCATTTAAACAATGAAGAGATGTGAGTTTAATCCCCAAAATCAGGTTGTTAACAAAAAATGTTGAGGCTGAACATTTTACTTAACACTTTACCTTTCGCAAGTGTAACACTCGCAGAACTCATTATTTTCTCCAAAAAACCCATCTCCATAATAACAAGAAATTTCTTCTCCAGGTTCAATATCTCTCAGAGCCTTCACACATGCTGTATCTCGACCAGTTGACACAAACTAAAATAAAAGTAACTCAGTAAGAAACTCACACCTGAAGCAAAAACAAAATACTTGAAGAAATTTTTTTTAATGCTTACCTTACAATTAGGTCTGCAATCTGAAAAATGTCCAAAAGATAAAGTCAATTAACTGTTGATAAGATCAGAAACACGAACAATTACAGAAATCTGAAATAAGCTTTCCATATAACTTTACAACTTTTGACAGGAGTTTAGATCTCAAGTTCAACTAAAGGAATATACATTTATTTTAATAAGTTTGTGGAAAAATTTCTATTTCAAATTCTCCTTTAAAGGAAGATAAAGATTTGACTGAGGTTGACGAGGCCATTCTAGCCGTTAGCAAGAACGCCTAACACTAGCGCCAACACCTTGGAAATACAGCTTACCATGGTTTATAAATGCAGCAGGACCCAGCCAGAGTTGAGCACAGTTTTTCCTTGTGGAATACATGACACTGAAGTCGTTTTCTCCATGTCTAAGTAGCATGTTCTCCTCAATTTCTGAAAGTTCGGCAATACAACCCACCAGTAATTCTATTTTGTCATTTCGTTTCCTATTTAAAATATGTGATGTGTTAAAAATTACTAGTAATTAAAAATAGTAAGGCTTCTTTTAATAAAATAACCCTGACAATAAATATCAGAAACTGAAAAGGCCTATACTTTAGTTAGCTCACTGGGATCCCCACCTGGCTATCCTTCTCTTCCACCTTGGAGCTCCACAGCCTTGTGCCATGGTTACTTGCGTACCCATCTTATTCCTGCAAGAGAACGGAAACTCAACCAGGACAGGGACTATGCCACCTATGTCTCTGAACTCCCTGGTGTGGTGTTTTGCAAGCAGAAAGTACTCAAATACTTGCAGCACTGAATTAAACTTTCTGACTGCTGGATGAATGAAGCAGGCAGGGACCAGTGGCAGTAAGGGTTATGAGGATCCGGAATTGTGGTGCCACTCCTTAGAGCACACCATCCACTAGGAATGTAATGCAAGCTAAATTTTCAATCTTAAATTTTTTAGCGGCCACATTAAGAAAGTTAAGTGAATATAGGTGAAATTACTTTAACAACATATTTTATTTTACTTTATTTGAGACGGAGTCTCGCTCTGTTGCCCAGGCTGAAGTGCAGTGGCGTGATCTCGGCTCACTGCAACCTCTGCCTCCTGGGTTCAAGCGATTCTCCTGCCTCAGCCTCCCAAGTAGCTGGGACTACAGGTGTGCACCACCACACCCAGCTAATTTTTTTTTGTATTTTTACTAGAGATGGGGTTTCACCATGTTAGCCAGGATGGTCGCGATCTCTTGACGTCATGATCTGCCCACCTCGGCCTCCCAAAGTGCTGGGATTACAGGTGAGCCACTGTGCCTGGCCAACAATATATTTTAACCCAATATCCAAAATACGATTTCAGTAGGTAATATAAGAACCACGAATGGGAATAAAAGTTAATATGAAATCTGGTGTGTATAGTGCTTCTCAATTCAGACTAGCCACATTTCAAGGACTCAAGGGCTAGTCGCTACTGTACTGGATGGCACAGCTCTAGGACCCTAGATCTCAAACCTACACACCCATCTGCAACACAGGCAGCCACACAATCCAACTAGCAGGCTCAATACATCCTGAGGTAAACGAGGCACATTTCATGTATGCACACTCACCCCAGAGGCCTGGCAATAAGGTTCTTTTACCTATTCCATTTTCAGATATCTGACCCCCAAAATTTTTGCTGTAGAAATATTGGAGGATGGGTACATAAGGAGCTACGTGTCTTTTCTGGGAGATAGTATAGGGAACAGGCACGACAGGAAAGAAAATACAGTAGTATATATTCTCTTTCATCTGTAATTTTTATCCCTCTTAGCTGGGCTCAACTCTGATTTTTTTGAGATGGAGTCTCACTCTATTGCCCAGGCTGGAGTACAGTGACGTGATCTTGGCTCACTGTAGCCTCTGTCTCCTGGGTTCAAGTGATTCTCCTGCTTCAGTCACCCAAGTAGCTAGGACTACAGGTGTGCGCCACCATGCCCAGCCAATTTTTGTATTTTTCGTAGAGACAGGGTTTCACCATGTTGGTCAGGCTGGTCTCGAACTCCTGACCTCAAGTGATCCACCTGCCTTGGCCTCCCAAAGTGCTGGAATTATAGGTGTGAGCCAACACCCCCCACCAACTCTACTACTTTTATTGAAGCTGGCATATATATATGTATTTTTAAGCAACTAGTGCTTTAGGGAAGTTTCCACCCATAAAACTAGGATCATTAAGACTTTAGCCCCAACCTTTCTTCTAGGCCAGTAGAAGTCTGACTGTGGAAGCCAGGTTATCTAATAATGGTGTTCACAGCCCTTCAGCAATCACATCACTGAACAGGCATCTAGAGTCAACAAAGGGAGAATGAAAAGCAATTTGGCCTAGAGATGGGCTCTGGTTCAACTGAGACTTCTGATTTCCTGATTCTGACTCCAGTTGATGGGCCAAGGCAACGGCACTGCATTGGCTACCTCAGGCTAAACTCTGGCTTCATTCCTTACCATGCATTTCTTAGCACTTCAACAATAATTTAGACGAGAACTTTAAATTAAAGGTTTATACTAGTAGAATAGTTACCACTCTTTTGTTGCAACTATTTTGGCTCCATTTTGCTCTGATGAGTATCTATTACATGGCAATATTTCAAATCCACTGTCAGTTGCAAACATTCGCAAATAAATAAATACCTAAAACAGAAAAAAAAAAATTGATAATGACTTTAAATGGTATACCCTGCTAGACTTTCTTAGAATTTTATAAAAGCAAACCACCCGCAATGATGAAAAAAATGTAACATCTAGCCTGGGCAACATAGCGAGACTATTTCTCTATGAAAAAACATTAGCCAAGCATGGTGGCATGTACCTTTAGTGCCAGCTACTTGGGAGGCTGAGAGGAAGGATCACTTGAGACTGAGACGGAAGCTACAGTGAGCCATAATCAGGCCACTGCACTCCAGACTGGGTGACAGAGCAAGACTCTGCCTCTAAAAAACAATAAAATACACAAAAAAAGTAAGATCATTAAGTAACAAACTTTATTGTTACTCAGGAATTTTGAATGTCACAATTTTTCTGATTTTGCAATATTTGCACTACAGTAACTAGCTGAACACCTCTAACCAAAAAATTCAAAATCCTCCCGTGAGCATTTCCTTTGAGTGTCATGTCAGCATTCAGAAAGTTTCAGATTTTGGAGCATTTCAAATTTTGGGGTTAAGGGTACTCTCTCTGTATGAGTACCTAATGGTTTGTTTCCCTTAAGGCTCACAATGGATTTCACCTCTATATGACAAAGTTTTCTCTCCTGTTTTGGTTGTAGACACAGGGTCTTGCTCTGTCTCCCAGGGCTGAAGGGCAGTGGCAAGATCATAGCTCAGTGCAGCCTCTAACTCCTGGGCACAAGCAATCCTTCTGGCTCTGCCTCCTGAGTAGCTGGAACTACAAACTACAAAGGTGTACACTACCATGCCTGGCTAATTTTTTTATTCTTATTTTTTTAGAGATGGAGTCTTGCTATGTTGCCCAGGCTGGTCTCGAAGTCCTAGCCTTAAGCAATACTCCCTGCCTTAGCCTCCCAAAGTGCTGGGATTACAAGCATGAGCCACTGAGCCTGGCCCAGTTTTTTCTTTGGACTGTCATTCAAATGACTATGTGTTACAAGATCTTCAGACTGATTAGTTTTATGAAAAATAAATCTAAAATTTCAGTATTAACTAACATTTAGGGTTTAAATTTACTTCACTATTCTTACCCAAATAGGTTAGCAGCATCAGTCTTAATAAACTTACGTGTTCTTTGAATAACTTCTCCTGCATTTTATTCTTGTTGAGAAAATAGTGCCGTGCCCATTCGCCTGAAGTCAAACATTTGAAGGCTTTCTCCAAGTGTTCATCTTTCTTAAAACGTTCAATTACTTCCTTTAGTTCTTCCTGCCTTCCTTTAATAGGCCGAAATCTGAAAGAAATCAAAATAATAAATGGGTTATCTGCCACAATCCTTGCACCACTGATCCATCTTAAGAGACCTTGAGAAAGAGCTAACACCCTAAAAACAGCCATGGTTATCAGAGCAAAGATCTAAGAGAAGAGAACAACAAACAATAGTCTTGACTACTACTATTCAAGTAATACTGATCAGCTGGATACGCAACTTCTCTTTTTTTAATCTGTTATTTTAATATTTTTATTTCACTGTTATCTCATTAACTGTGAGGTGAGCAGATGATTCAAACAAAAGCTGTCTGATTCAGACTTACACTAGTTGTCAACTTAGGGAGATATAAAATCAAAGCTCTAAAATACAGCACACCTAATTTAGAGTTAGAATGACAAGAATCTTTTTAAAACATGCAAAATCAAGCTGGAAGAGTGCCAGGCAATGAATTTCAGAAGTATGATGATGTAAACAAAACCATGCCATACACAAAAACATTATGTACACAGTTAGAAAAACACCCCAAACCAAGTATTCCAACTGGCTTTGAAACACACCTTGATGTTCTAACCACCCATGTCAAAGTCACCTTTGATGACGGCATTCAGAGAACAAAACGAGTACAAGCAGTATAACTCTAGTGGTGAAACTGCTATACTGGTAAAGTAGGAAAACTGATGGGGTAGAGTTTTATTTATTTTTTTTTTTTTGAGATGGAGTCTCACTCTGTGGCCCAGGCTGGAGTGGAGGGCAGTGGTGTGATCTTGGCTCACTGCAACCTCTGCCTCCCGTGTTCAAGCAATTCTCTTGCCTCAGCCTCCCATGTAGCTGGGATTACAGGCGTGCGCCACCATGCCCAGCTAATTTTTGTATTTTTAGTAGAGACCATGTTGGCCAGGCTGGTCTTGAACTCCTGACCTCAAGTCATCTGCCCACCTCAGCCTCCCAAAGTGCTGGGATTACAGGTGTGAGCCACTGTGTCTGGCTTGCTGGGGTAGAACTGAAAATACTCCTATTGTAGAATCAGCCATAATGATGTCTTCAGAATATTATACCATTAGGTCTATATTAATGCATGATGCAGTCATGGTCCAAGCAAGACAATATTTGTGAACCCCTCATTCTAAAGCTGTGTTTTCAGTAAAACATGTACTATAAAGTTACTCACACTTAATTTCAAATTTTCTTTTCATATCAATTTCATAAAGCTAATTCTCCCAACCAAAGTTTTTATTAAAAAAAAAAAGTTTTATTTTATTTTCATAAAGCTAATTCTCCCCGGATTATGGCCAGGTGTGGTGGCTCTCGCCTATAATCCCAGCACTTTGGGAGGCCAAGGCGGGTGGATCACAGGGTCAGGAGATCAAGACCATCCTGGCCAACATGGTGAAACCCCGTCTCTACTAAAATGCAAAAAATTAGCCAGGCGTGGTGGCACACGCCTGTAGTCCTAGCTACTCAGGAGGAGGCCGAGGCAGGGGAATTGCTTGAACCCGAGAGGCAAGTTTGGAGTGAACCAAGATCACGCCACTGCACTTCAGCCTGGTGACACAGTGAGACTCCGTCTCAAACAAAACAAAACAAAACAAAAATAAAACATCCAACAGAAAAAAGGAATCACAGATTGACATTCAAATAAAATACATTAAGAAAAAATACTAGTGGTTCAGGAGAAAAAAATATGTGTCTTACTCTGACATTTAAAATTGTACATTTCATAAACCTGAATATGCTAAAATTGAGAAGATGTAGCACAAACTCCAGCAAAGGAAGCATTCAGCAGAATTGTTTTCCTAGAGAAGCTATCATACATGCATTCATAGTATTTCAGTAAGATTTCAAGCCACAATATTTCATCAAGGATTATTAGGTGCTGTGTTGTGTATACAGTGGCATATGAAGTGCTATGGTGAAAAATACAAGAGAAGACATGGCCACTGTTCTTGAATGGAAAATGTAATTGGGACTAAAAGACATATATATGCATCAAACAATTAAGCAAGCCATCAATATGCAAATGCATGTTAATTTGCTAAAAACTACATTGCTATAGCACCTGAAAGTATGGAAATTATAACTAGGGTGTCAAATGTACGTGGGAAAGGTTTAAGAAAAGCACACTACAGGCAGGGAAGAATCAAAAAGAAGGAAGAGTGAGGGGAAGTCTAAGCAGAAGATCTTAATAAAGCTGGATCCAAAGAGTTGACCAGGGTCAGCTAGTTAGCAATAATAAAGTGAACTACCAGAATCAGGAAGAGGAAAGACACGAGGTCCTGAACAGCTATAATACTGTTTACTGCACAGGATCACTGGAAGACTTCAGGTATATTAATGCATACTGATCCTACCAGGAGCTTACTAGCTACAGGCTCTAGTCATGTTTTGTTCTGTTTTAAATTCAGTAATCCTGAATTCTCACAACTATTAGCAGAACCATCTGAGAGTTCAAACATATCCTAAAGGTAATACTGAATGAATGAATGGGGCTCTATTTTCCATTTTCAATCAACTAGTATACAAGCCTCTATAGACAGATAAATGCAAGTCCTTTAAAAAATTCAGAACATCTTACTAGGCTATCGATATATGGTGTCAGAGAACCACCAAGAAAATAAAGAGCTGCAGAACTGGGAAAGCATCCACACATCCATACTAAACTACTTGCAGCCATCACAGTTGATTGTGTCAAGATGCCATCTCTAAGACATTCAACTGAAACCATTCTTGCTGCAATCCTACACCACATGGTTATTTGCATATGAAGGACAGATAAGACAACAAAGAAGCTCCCAGCTAAGGCATGACCCATCAAGCAATATGCAATATGGAATGGTGGGAAACAGATAACCCATGTTTTATGTGGCAATCAGAAAAGCAATAGTTCACTTTAAGCAAATGCAATAAATTATCCATGCCGTTAAATGACAGGGCTACAAATGACAGAAAGGGCCAAGCTATCTTTACACATTCAATGTGAAAGTGACCAATGGGAACATTATACAAAAATTAGTTATAGACCTGGAATGAAACTTGGCTATTTTTAATAGGCTTTATGTGTGTTCTATGCTTCCTGAAACAAGTTCATTCCTATCTAAAAATGCCTTCAGGTACCTTTAGTTTTGTTTACTTTTTATTCATAATGCCAAACAATTTATAGGCTGAAAACCAACACAAAATAGTCAACTCTTGATTTAGAAGCATTCTGCCTACCTTCCCTGTGTTGACTTCTGTTTCCGCTTTCCTGACTTTATTGCCTCAAACATAAATAAAATCCCTGAAACTATCCCTTGCTACCCCCATAGCAAGAACCTCTATTTCACTGAAACTATAAGTTGCTGTCCCAAACCTGTTAAAACTTACTGTCACAGTTGGCTGCTATGGGCATGAAATGACAGTGAGGAAAAGGGGGAAGAAAACGGTTATAGGTGCAGACAGGCAGGAGATGAGACAGTTTTCAATAATCCTACAGAAGTATGTAAAAGTCAGCTGGCTGACAGTCCAAATCAAATCCCATTACAACAAATACTGTGGAAAACAGAAGTTAAGACTGTTACACCTTAGGGCCAGTGCAAACGCACTGAGAACCTTAGGGGAATTTTTTTTTTCCTATTATTGAACAGAAAAATACCCTCTCCCCTTAACCACCATCACTCTAAATCTCCCACATAAACTGCATAAAACTATCCTTTTACTCTGGCACTTAAAGGCCAGATAATTTAGAACCACCCTTTTGTTCCACAAATGAGGAAAATAAGGCCCAACAAGGATCAGCAGATGGCCAGTGACTTAAGGCTGATGAAGGGAAGACCTGGGATTTACCCTGGCCTTTCTGGTTCCTGTTACATGACCTGGCTCAAGAAAGCCTTCCTCACATTGTTTCATGATTAGAAGAGGATTTAACTTGCGTTTGCCATCGAGCATCAGCACTGGGTCCAGCCAGAGAGCTCTAGCTTGTATACTGACAATACAGTGGAAAGGATGGATGCAAATGTGAATTTTAAGATTTAGTATTTGGGTGGGTGGCGGGTGGCAAGGGAGGCAAGAAAAACAGGTATTCGGCATTTCCAAATCAATATGCCCCGTCCTCCCTCCCTTAACAGAAAATTTGTTACTTTAAATCAACCAAACATATCTATTTTTTCTCTTCTTACACTTCTGATCAATGGCTGGTATAAGAAAAACAAAAATGTCATTTACAATTGGTTATTATTAAAGGGGCAGGAAAAAAACATATGAATTCACACTCCCACACACCTGTTCCCCACTCTTTCCAGAGACTCACTTCCCAGGTTTTCTTGCTATTTGGTTTTTCTGTCTCCCCACTGTGGCAGTGAAGAAAAGTTGTAGACTGTATTAGCTGTGCTACTGTGCCCTTCATTAGCATGCACAATCAAAAGCTGACTGGAGGGGTGGGGAACAGGAAGGGGAACAGAAAAAAGGGAGACAGGGAAGGAGAGAGGAAGAGAGAAAAATGCTCAAATATTTAAGATATAAAATAAAACCATGAGGCAACATAGTGAACACATTTCCCCCTCTGAAGAAAGTTTAGCTGTAAATCGACAGTTTGTAGACGCTGAGCAAGTAGTCACAGAGCAGCTCTTCATTCCTTCTTGACCTGAAAATAAACAAGAACCAAAAACATACCTGGCTGAGTCCTGCAATCAGTGCTCAGCTAATCACATGGAGTGACTCCTGATCTTTTGATGAATGATTTGTTTCTCTTAAAATCACCCTGTTATGAAGTACAAGTGGTTTTTTAAAAAATACAACTATTATCAAACTACTTTAAAAGGTTTGTAAAATGTTCTAAAACTCTAATTTATGCTGACACTTCAACTTACTCAACATAAAAGAACATTTTAAAAGGCTGGAATGGGTTAGTCAGTATCTCATTGTTTGTAACACACACTACCTACCTCACAGGGTTGTTGTGAGAAAAACTGTCAGATTTTGAAAAATGCCTTGAGCTCCTCGAAGGAAAGGCGCTATATAAATGCAAAAACAAACAACAAAAATAAAAAGCTATTTGTATAATCTGTACTTGTAATTTCTAAACAGACTTACAATATTCGTTGTTGCAAAAATCTTTAAAACTCTGTGATACTTAAGAACTTTAAGATGCCACGGGCGGGCGTGGCAGGATAGAAGCCATGCTGCTGAAATTCTCTGCTTCCCATAGAATACACCTTACCATGAAGTTAGACGCTTTGAAAACGTTCTTTACGGATTCTAGTCAAGCACTTAATTTTAAAGTGGTATTTAAAGTGATTCATACTTTAATATCCAATAGTGGATATGAATAATCAAATACATATATAAGCAAAATAAAAATCAGATGGTTACAGCAGTAGAAAGATGAGTAAGGACTGTACAGGCTGACGTTCTGATTAGAAACACGAAGAAAAGTTCCAAAGAGAAACTCAGTGTCCTGACTCTGCTGATGTTTAAATGCTGTCTCCTGCTCAGCTCACTGCTAGCCTGAGTCTCCTTCAGCCTCAAAAAGGGGGCATTACTGAAAGCATTGATCCCTTTCTTACAATATCCCGCTCCCACTCCATTTAAAAATCAGAAGTATAAACAACAACTATTTTTTTCTTGTTAAAAAGAAAAATTTAGGTTTCATAATTGACAAAAGTCAATTAAGTTCAAATTTCTCCCAAAAAATTGAAATTAGCATTTTGTTTGTACTATTTCTAAGTATTCACACTACAACTCTCGCTTGTTAGTAAATATAAGGATATATTAAGATTAAAACCTATGCACTCAAAATATAGCCAGTTTTGAAAATTATCCAATCATTAAACATCTACTGTTTTTCTTTTTTTTTTTTGGAAGCAACAGAGTCTCACTCTGTTGCTCAGGTTGGAGTGCAGTGGTGTGATCTCGGCTCACAGCAACCTCCGCCTCCCAGGTTCAAGTTATTCTCCTGCCTCAAACTCTTGAGTAGCTGGGATTATAGGTGCACACCACCACGCCTGGATAATTTTTGTATTTTTAGTAGAAATGGGGTTTCACCATGTTGGTCAGGCTGGTCTCGAACACCTGACCTCGCGATCTACCTGCCTCGGCCCTCCAAAGTGCTGGAATTACAGGCATGAGCCAACACGCCCGGCCTAAACATCAACTGTTTCTAAACATTCTTCCTGTTGGTAGACTGAAAGAAGTAAAAGGAAGGCAAAAGAGTATAAAAAAGAGAAACTGAAAAGTGACAAATTACAGGTGCATAAACATGAACAAAGAGTGCACTATTCGAGGAATAGGTAGAGAGCTTAGAAAATTAAAATCCAACAGCAGAATATCTTCTCATCACTTCTTTTGCACCCCAAAGAGAGTCCATAAACTAGTAACTTGAGAGGTATTTATTATCAGTTTTCCTTATTTTCTAAATCCACATTCTAGTAAATTCTTGCTCAAAAGATGAAGAGCTAGAAGGGATAGTTTTATTTTCAAGTAAATTCACTAAGGTTAAATGAAAACATGTATCTTTCACCAAGATTAACGTAAAGGTCATTAATAAAGTTTCTGTTCCCAAATATCAGTGTACACAAGAGTGTAGAAACACACATAAACCGAACACTCTGGTGGGAAGTGGACAGGATGTCCCCTGCACTGCCACACCAGCCTGAAGTACTGGCATTGCTACGAACCCAGCCTGCTCTAACCAGGGAAGTAGAATCGTCTGTACCTCCACAGGTTATTTTAGGAACTGTATAATTAAATGTTGCACTAAAAAATATTTAAAAAATGATTTCTTCTGCAAGTTTAACCAGATTTAATTTTAGATGCTTCAATTTCTATGGGGAAAAATCTTACGCACTGGATGCATTTTAATTTAGGAGTCCTCAGTTATAGTAATGTCTTGAGTTCTAAAAGTATTTGTGTGGTAATCCTGAAGTTTACATTTATGACTACATGGTTTTATGTGAGCCCTAGGAAACGCCTGCTAAGATATTTTTAGCAACTTATCACATCACAACGAAACTGAGAGGCCAGATGGTTTAGGACCTAACTATTCCAAGTGTAGTCGGGGAGCTTGTTAGAAATGCAGAATCTCAGGCCCCACCCCAAAGCTGCTGAATCAGAACCTGCATTTCAACCAACTCCCAGGTGACTCTCACGTAAACTAATTACGAGAAACAAGGGTATAGGAGGACTTTTATAGAAAATTGGAGTGTTTCCTTTTTTTTGTTTTTTTTGATACAGGGTTTCACTCTGTGGCCCAGGCTGGAGTGCAGTGGTGCGAATACAGCTCACTGCAGCCTCGAGCTCCTGGGCTCAAGTGATCCTCCCACCTTGGCCTCCCAAAGTGCTGGGATTACAGGCATGAGCCACTGCAGCAGAAAACTGGAGTATTTACTATTGCAGATGCCAATAACAGGCAGCCTTCTGGAATACGGCACGGGGATTTTAGAGTACATGAAGTTCTGTCATAAGCCACTAAAACTTTCATTGTAATTTTTTTTTTTTTTTTTTTTTTGAGACCGAGTTTCACTCTTGTTGCCCAGGCTGGAGTGCAGTGGCATGATCTTGGCTCACTGCAACCTCCGCCTGCCGGGTTCAAGCAATTCTCCTGCTCTCAGCCTCCCAAGTAGCTGGGATTACAGGCATGCGCCACCATACCTGGCTAATTTTGTACTTTTAGTAGAGATGGGGTTTCTCCATGTTGGTCAGGCTGGTCTCGAACTCCCGACCTAAGGTGATCTGCCCACCTCAGCCTCCCAAAGTGCTGGGATTACAGGTGTGAGCCACTGCACCTGGCCCATTGTAATTCTGATGTAACACTTTCTAAAATGTTTTATATGCTTCCATATCTTGATAATAAGGCATAATCAACATAACTTTCTTAATGATCCCAGGTCAAGATTCTGGGCCTTTGTGGTGACTTTCTGAATGCCACTAAACTATTGTGTCAGAGTGATTCATTCACACATTCACATTTCTTAACTCAGAAAAAAACAAAAAAAAAACAAAAAAAACACTGGGGGTGCTACAGGGCGACAAATATCAGCATCTTCTAGGAGAAGAATGAGCACTGGTCTCATGTTCAATGGGCAAAAAAAAAAAAAAAAAAAGAAAATGGACTTAAAATAATGAAAATTAGTCTTTTTTTTTTTTTTTTAAAGCTGGAGTCTCACTCTGTTGCCCAGGCTGGAGTGCAGTGGCACGATCCCGGCTCACTGCAACTTCCACCTCCCAGGTTCAAGGGATTCTCCTGCTTCAGTCTTCTGAGTAGCTGGGACTATAGGTGCATGCGGCCACATGCAGCTATTTTGTATTTTTAGTAGAGACGGGGTTTCAGCATGTTGGCCAGGCTGGGTTCGAACTCCTGAGTTCAGGTGATCCACCCGCCTCAGCCTCCCAAAGTGCTGGGATTACAGGCGTGAGCCACTGCGCCCAGCCCTGTATCTTTTTTTTGAGACAGTCTCACTTTGTTGCCCAGGCTGGGGGGCAGTGGTGTAATCTTGGCTCACTGCAACCTCTGTCTCCTGGGTTCATGTGATTCTCCTGCCTCAGCCTTCTGAGTAGCCAGGACTACAGGCATGCACCACCACGCCCAGCTAATTTTTGTATTTTTAGTAGAGATCGGATTTCACCATGTTGGCCAGGCTGGTCTCGAACTCCTGACCTCTGGTGATCCACCCAGCTCGGCCTCCCAAAGTGCTGAGATTACAGGCATGAGTCACTGCGTTCAGCCTGGATCTTAATCAATCAGGGCATCTAATGGCAGTCATTTGGCAGGGAACTGTTTAAATAGTCTCCCAACTCCATTTCCAATATTTCACACCTTCATTTTAGTAGGCAAAGATATATGATAGAAAATTTTATGGCCAGGCACAGTGGCTCATGCCTATAATCCCAGCACTTTGGCAGGCCAAGGCAGGCAGATCACCTGAGGTCAGGAGTTCGAGACCAGCCTGGTCAACATGGTGAAACCTTGTCTACACTAAAAATACAAAAATTTGCTGGGTGCAGTGGCGCAAGCCTGTAATCCCAGCTACTTGGGAAGTTGAGGCAGGAAAATCACTTGAACACGGAAGGTGAAGGTTGCAGTGAGCCGAGATAATGCCACTGCACTCCAGCCTGGGCAACAGAGTGAGACTCTCTCTAAAAAAGAAAAAAAAGAAAAAAAATTATGAAAAAAACAAAAGCACGTTTTTAGCTGAATTACTTCTTTTGGACTTAGACTATAATTGGTAAGTGAAGCATATATAGTAAGTGAAGCATATAGTATCTTAATCTAGCAAGGGATAAAATTAAAAGGGAGGAAACAGGACACAAGACTTTCCTCCAATTACCTGTACTCACCAATTTCTACCTCTCCCAACTACTGATTAGTGACTATCTACGTGGGTATCAAGATCCCCCAAGGCTGTCACTGAAATTGGAGCTATATAACAACCCCAGTCCGGGTATGATGGGGATGAACTGGCTCTATCTTCTAAATCTCTGCTGTTATGCTTTCCCACCACACTAAAAAACCTTTTGCCATAGAAGTTAAGACATAAAGCATAAAGCAAAGTTGCAAAGTTCTGACCTGTTTGGTGGCAGAAACATTTGTGAAATGATCTAATGGTCTTTTTTGAGGGAGAAATGATATTTAAGAGAATTAGAGAGAGACCTCAGCTGTTAAAACATGACAGATTTCAAGATTAATGTAATAATGTTTTTTATATACAGCATTTGGTACTCAAACACTTACACATCCACTTTCTTACCTGTATACTGAATATAAACATGTCTTTAAAACTATTCACTTTTAACAATGATTAGCTGAATCCCAAAGATTAAACATGATGACAAAATTTCCCATCTCTACAGAGACAATGTGTAAGAGAAAAGTCTACAATAAAATCAAGAAAAAAAGGGACATATCCTACTTTAATTGGAAACAATCATACATTTTCAAGGTTTTATAGGATGCTTGTCAGATTTTTCTTTTCGGTGAGGTAACTGTCATCACTTTTTTTTTTTCCAGATAGAGTTTCACTCTTGTCACCCAGGCTGGAGTGCAATGGCATGATCTCGGCTCACTGCAACCTCTGCCTCCCGGGTTCAAGTGGTTCTCCTGCCTCAGCCTCCCAAGCAGCTGGGATTACAGGCGTGCACCACCATGCCCGGCTAATTTTTTTTGTACTTTTAGTAGAGACGGGGTTTCACCGTGTTGGTCAGGCTGGTCTCAAACTCCTGACCTCAGGTGATCCACCCACCTCGGCCTCTCAAAGCGTGGGGATTACAGGCGTGAGCCACTGCGCCCGGCATCATCAACTTCTAAAATAGAACATGAGGATGCTCCTCCAGCTTTATATGTTGATAGAAATGTTCTGAGGTAAAATAAGAACATAGAGTTAGAACTGACAAGATTCCTGGAGTCTTGTTCTCTGCTTCTCTTGGCTCACACACAGAAAACCCTTCCACTGCAAAGAACTTTCCTTTAGTGTCATTTTAAATTTTGAGCAAAAGTAAAATTAGCCATCTACGTTCTTGAATTCAACATCATCATCTGTTCCATTCAGGATAAAGACTGAAAATTACCTAGTATTCATTTTGTGTGTTTGAAAACCTAAATAGGGATCAAGAACCAAACTGGTTGCTAGGTCATCATTTTCACAGAGTTCCTTGGCAGACATTCCAGAAGATGGTACATAGCGACTCTGTCCTTCAAATCCCGAGTTACCATTACCTGTGAAAAGCAAAAGCAAGAAAAATTACTCAAATTGAAAACTACTTAAATCTGCCTTAAAAATTCTTTAGCCGCACTGACCATTCAAGCTGGTAATAAAGAACTGAAAAATCAATCAGTTTTAGTAATTAAGAATGTAATAACCTTTCCATAAGACAGAAAACCAAATGCAGTAAACCATCTCCATTACTGAGAGTATTTTGGTTAGCAGGTAGTAACAGCAGGTTCCAAAGGTTCGCAAGAACAGGGTCTGCGTAGTTGTGAGAATTTGGTTCAAATGCTTGGCTCTCCCCCACCCCCTTCTCTCCAAGGAACACTGAGAAACAGGGGACGGGAGGATGTTCGCTATTTTAACAAGTCAGTACACAGGGCCATTACAGATAGGACTGGGGTGAAAAGGCAAGAGGAACACAAGATAGTTTTTGCAAGAAGTGCCAGAACTCCAGATCTCAAGTATCAAAAGGAATCTCATGAAGTTCGGCTTCCTGCTTTTGGGCAGGTGAATGATTATTATCCTCACTTTGCAGGAAACTGAGGCACAGACAAAAAGAAACTTGCCCACAATTCCAGAGCTGGGTAGTAGAAGTGGGGAAAGAAGTAGAGAGAGAATGACAGACCTATTTCTACTGACCTCTGTTTGAAGCAATTTTGAATGAATGGATAAAAATAGAGACTCAAATATGTAACTGAAATAATTGGGTTTAACTGTGGAAGAAAAGCAATGTAAAGAAGGAAACAAAGGCCAAGTTATAAGAAGTTTCATCAGAGTTGATTAAGTTTGATGTATGTGCCACTGACAGTCCTTCCATGGACTTAGCACATAGTTTACGGAGGACAACAGCAATATAACTCTCAGGCTCTCAAAACTAAAACAGGGAAGAATGAAACACAGAGTAAAGTTTAACCTTTTCATCTACGTTTTCACAGAACAAATAGTTAAATGTAAGTTCCTGCCAAGGGCAGACATATGATTCTGCAATCAAATTATTTGTATGTAGCTATGTGAAAAGCTACCAACGTTGTTAAATTTTTTGTAACAGCATAATAGCTTTATTGAAATACAATTCACAAATGATACAATTCACTTTTTTTTTTTTTTTTTTAAGACAGGGTCTTGCTCTGTCACCCAGCCTGGAGTACAGTGGCATGATCACAGCTCACCGCAGCCTCGAATACCTGGGCTCAAGGAATCATCCTGCCTCAGCCTCCCTAGTAGCTGAGACCACAGGCATGCATCACCAAACCTGGTTAATTTTTGTATTTTTTTGTAAAAATGGGGTCTCACCATATTGTCCAGGCTGGTCTCGAACTCCTGGGCTCAAGCCATCCTCCTGCCTCAAGTCTCCCAAACTGCTGGGATTACAGGCATGAGCCACCAAGCCCAGTCTTTTTTTCACACAGGCATTTACAAGTATAAATTTCCCTCTAAACCACTGTTTTGGCTGCATCCTATAAATTTTAGTACGTTTTATCTTTCTTTTCATTCACCTCAAAATGTTTTCTGATTTCCTTTTTGATTTCTTCTTTGACCCACTGATTACTTAGAAGTGTGTTTCATTTCTATATGTTTGTGAAATTCCCAAATTTCCTTGTTAATTTCTAATTTTCCTCCATTGAAGTCACAGAACATACCTTTTATTATTTCAATCCTTTTAAGTTTATTGAAGCTTGTTATACGGTCTAGCATATGGTCTATCCTGGAGAATGTTGCACTCGCACTTGAGATGAATGTGTATTCTGATGAGGTTCTAAAGATGTCTGTTAGCTCTCATTGGTTTACAGTGTTAAGCTGTTCTATCCATTATTAAAAGTGGCATATCAAAGTCTCCAAATTATTGCTGAATTGTTGATTTTTCCCTTCAATTTTGTCAGTTTTTGTTTCCTGTATCTTAAGGCTCTGCTGCTGGAAAAGTCACTCATTGTATCTGAGATGGGGCACTGCTCTGTGCTCTCCCATTTCTCCTCATCGCTGGCTCTCTTTCTGCACCATTCTGGCCCAATAACATTCAGTGTAAGGCTATGTTATCTTCACACTCCGGTTTTCCCAACGTAGCCTTCTATATTTATCTATGCTTGGTGAAGTGTAACCAACGTAATGGCCATTTTCTTTTTTTTTTGAGACGGAGTCTTTCTCTGTCGCCCAGTGGCGCAATCTCAGCTCACTGCAAGCTCTGCCTCCAGGGTTCATGCCATTCTCCTGCCTCAGTCTCCCAAGTAGTTGGGACTACAGGTGCCTGCCACCACACCCGGCTAATTTTTTATTTTTTTATTTTTTATTTATTTATTTTTTTGAGACGGAGTCTCGCTCTGTCGCCCAGGCTGGAATGCAGTGTCCGGATCTCAGCTCACTTCAAGCTCCGCCTCCCGGGTCTACGCCATTCTCCTGCCTCAGCCTCCCGAGTAGCTGAGACTACAGGCGCCCGCCACCTCGCCTGGCTAGTTTTTTCTATTTTTTTTAGTAGAGACGGGGTTTCACCGTGTTAGCCAGGCTGGTCTCGATCTCCCAACCTCGTGATCCGCCCGTCTCAGCCTCCCAAAGTGCTGGGATTACAGGCTTGAGCCACCGCACCCGGCCAATTTTTTATATTTTTAGTAGAGACAGGGTTTCACCATGTTAGCCAGGATCGTCTCGATCTCCTGACCTTGTGATCCACCCACCCTGGCCTCCCAAAGTGCTGGGATTACAGGCGTGAGCCACCACACCCAGCCTGTAATGGCCATTTCTAAACTTTTTTGTTTGTTTTTGAGACAAGAGTCTCGTTTTTTTGCCCATGCTGGAGTGCAGTTGTGTGATCTCGGCGCACTGCAACCGCTAACTCCTGGGCTCAAGTGATCTCTCCAACCTCAGCTTCTCAAAGTAGCTGGGATCACAGGTGTGCAACACCATGACTGGCTAATTTTTCTGTAGACACAGTATTTTTCGTAGACATGGAGTTTCACCATGTTGCCCAGGCTGGTCTCAAACTCCTGGACTCAAGAAAATCCATTCACCTTGGACTCCTAAAGTGCCGGGATTACAGGTGTGAGCTACCATGCCCAGACGCATTTTCTAAATTCTTGTGTATCTATAACAATTCAACTAATTAAAACGGTTTTGCACTGTGATACACAAAAGGAGGCCAACAGTGATTTGCTAAAAAGCTTAAGATATGCCTAGTTTACTGACCAGAATGAATACACCCTGATGTGATCACTGTGTTTCTCAATTCTTCACGTTCACGCTAGCTACTAAGGAGTGAGGCAGGACAAGGGTGCATGCGGCCAGCAGCCTCAGGAGTGAGTGGTGTCCATGCAGAGTACTAACTCATTCGGTCTTGCCTCTTCCTACTCTTGTCCTGAGCAGGAATTCTGTCTGGTTTCTACAGCAACAGTGACCTGATCTGAAATGGAAAGGTTAAGGGTAGCCTGGGCCCAATGAGTCGCATAAACCCTAAAAGGTAAGAAGGAAATCAATCAGAACTGGATTCAATCTGAAACTACAGAAAAACCACAGGCTAATCCAAATCCCTGGAAACAGGCCAACGCCAATCTGAATTAAGGATATTCAAAAGTGGCTAGATTCATGTTAGAAAAAGAAGAAAAGCTGTCCTCTTTAACATGACATACATTTGGACATATAGCTGCCTAGTTAGGTATACACTTGTCCTCAGTCATTTTACTACTTTTAGAGGAACTACAAAATACGCACCAAATCCACAACTTCCTGAACCCTTAAAAAGCAGCCTCTTTCCCACCAAGAGGTATAGAGGAAATAAAGTAACTTAGCAGCAGTGTTTCACTGTCAGGATGAACAACTGTCTACCCTGTATAAATGGAATAAATTGCTACGATTTGTGAGGCTGCCCTAAAGCAGTCAGTTCTATCCACCCTCCATTCTACTTACGCAAATTACATAAGTAGAATTAAATAAGTTGGCATCATTATTCATATTATTCCATGAAACATTTGTGGAAATTAGCAAAGAAGAAGTACATACCTATACTTACAACTATTAAAAAAATACAGGTTAACCTGTAAGAAGTTCAATTAAAATTTTAAAAATTTAATAAGACATATCAACCATTCAGGAATAAATTCTACAAAATATAAAGTAAGAGAAAAGCATGATTAAAATAATTATATGAAGCATTAAACTTGAGTTTTATATATTGTTTGATGAGAATAAAAATTGACACAACTTTGAGAGTAAAAAGACTATATTGTTAATTATGAAAATGCAAAAAATTATTTAAGACAAAAGAAAACAGAATATACATTACAAACTGGAAAGAATTACTACCCCATATCACAATTAGAACATTGAAGGTTTAAGTGTGTACATACATCTGCTCGACCTCCTCTCGACTGCATTTTTGCCAGCCTTCAGGGTGTCCTTCCCCGTGTGCTGTAATTTTGATTGATTCTGCTGATGGTCATTAGACAACTTGCCTCCATTTCTCCTGCCATTCACCACCATGTTCTTGGATTCTCCCAACCACTTCATACCCACAGACAGCCTGACCCAGGTGCATTTAGTCACTCTCTTCAAATAGCTTAGAGAATACTTTCAATGTTCTCTCCTAACAGAAACAAAATATGAAAAACAAAACAAAATGGGGAGGTAAATACATGAAAGATCATGCTAAACAGACCCTTGAGAAAGATATATAATATTAAAAGGACAGTCATTCACAGCATAATGATGTTTTGGTCAATGACAGACCACATAAACAATGGTGGTTCCATAAGATTATAACAGAGCTGGACATACACTTCATAAAATTCGTATTGCCTAGTATTTACTATATTATACTTTTTTATTGTTATTTTAGAGTATATTCCTTCTACTTTTTTTAAAAGTTAACTATAAAACAGCCCCAGGCAGGTTATTCAAGAGCATTCCAGAGGAAGGCACTGTTATCACAGGAGATGACAGCTCCATGCATGTTACTGCCCCTGAAGACGCTCCAGTGGTACAAGATACAGAGGGAGAAGACAGTGATATGGATAATCCTGACCCTGTGTGGGCTGAAGCTAACGTGTGTGACCTGTGTCTGTTTTTAATAAAAACATTAAAAAATTAAAAGTAGGAAAAAGTTTATAGAACAAAGATATTTAAAAAAGAATATAGTTGGGTATGGTGGCTCATGCCTGTAATCCCAGCACTTTGGGAGGCCATGGCAGGTGGACTGCTTGAGTCCAGAAGTTGAGACCAGCCTGGGCAACATGGCAAGACCCTGCCTCTACAGAACATAAAAAAGTGAGCCAGGTACAGTGCTGCGTGAGCCTGTGGTTCCAGCCACTTGAGAGGCTGAGATGGGAGGTCACGCCTGCAGTGAAGCCATGATTCCAACACTGCACTCCAGCCTGGGTGACAGAGCAACCCTGTCTCCCAAAAAAGAAAAGAAAAGAGTAAGTATATTTTTGTGTCTTTTTGTCTGTTTTTTGAGACAGTCTCACTCTATGGCCCAGGTTGGAGTGCAGCAGCATGATTATGGCTCACTACAGCCTCAAATTCCAGGGCTCAACCCATCTTCCCACTCAGCCTCTCAAGTAGCTAGGACTACAGGCAGGAGCCACCACATCCAGTTCATTTTAAAACTCTTTTTTTTTTTTTTTTGGTAGAGATGGGGTCTCACTATGTTGCCCAGACTGGTCTCCAACTCCTGGCCTCAAGCAATCCCTCCACCTTGGCCTCCCAATGTGTTGGGATTACAGGTATGAGCCACTGTGCTTGCTAAGAAAGAATACACATTCATTTATTTGAGACAGGGCCTTGCTCTGTCGCCCAGGCTAGAGTGCAGTGGCGCCATCTCTGCTCACTGCAACCTCCACCTCCCAGGTTCAAGCGATTCTTCTGCCTCAGTCTCCTGAGTAAGTGGGATTACAAGTGTGTGCCACCACACTTGGCTAATTTTTGTACTTTTCATAGAGATGGGGTTTTACCATGTTGGCTAGGCTGGTCTTGAACTCCCAACCTCAAGTGATCCACCTGCCTCGGCCTCCCAAAGTGCTGGGATTACAGGCGTGAGCCACTGCGTGTGGCCTGAACATATTTTTGTATAGCTGTATGTGTTTGTATTTTAAGCCAAGTGTTACCATAGAAGAGTCAGAAAGTTAAACAAAAAAAAACCTTTATAAAGTAAAACAGTTACAACAAACTAAGGTTAATTATTGAAGAAACATTTCAAAATAAATTTAGTGTAGCCTAAGTGTACAGTGTTCACAGAGTCTACAGTAGTACATATGTACTAGGTCTACACAATTACCACCCACTCACTCACTCACACACCCAGAGAAACTTCAAATCCTGCAATCTCCATTCATAGAAGTACCCTTTACAGGTGTACCATTTTAAAATCTTTTATTCCGTATTTTTACTGTACTTTTATGTTTATGTGTGTTTAGATAACAGCACTGTGTTACCAGTGACTACAGTAGTCAGTACAGTAACATGCTGGACAGGTTAGTACCCTACGAGCAACGGCCCGGGTGTGTAGCAGGCTAGACTACCTAGGTTTGTGTAAGTATACTCTATGACATCTGCAAGACAACAAAACCGCCTAACCTCACATTTCTAGAATGTGTCCCTGAGACACACTCTATGAGTGCCCTCTATGATATCTGCATGATGATGAAATCAACTAACCTCACATTTCTCAGAATGTGTGGTATCCCTGTCACTAAACAACGCATGACTATAATTTAATAAATGATGTCTCCGCTCTTTAAAGACAATCTTGGCTCTCCCCAGTCATATGATGCCTGCTCAGGAATACAGTGGCCCCAGACTGAGCAGAATGTAAACGACAGAAGGTAGGGGCTCATTCTGACTTGTTCCTTGCTTGTGTTTAGAATAGTACTGACAAACAGCAGGTGCTCAACAAATATTTCTTTCAGTAAACAGTAAGAACTGTCTTTGCTCCTTATTATACTGATATCTAGGTACAGCTCTATCATCTGCTCAAATCACATGTTTTGGTAATGCTCTGAACTGGGTGAGTAAACTACAAGGAAGTTATTTATCTCCTTTGTTCCAAGGCAAGCTTAGGAAAAGGCATCTATGCTAAGCTTTGTCCATCACAGTAAGAGACTCCTAACTGTTATGCTGGCTACTCATCACCACAAACAAAACTGAGCAGACGGACAAGAGTAAGGAAAGTAAAGGACTCCGTATCTTTTTGTTGTTGTTACTTTGAATTCACTGTTCTAGATATTTAAGAAACCAATACTCAGATATCAAAGTAGTGCCCATCTGGAAATGTCTACCTTATCATTCCTTCACAATGGCAACAAAACTGAGAAGCTACTGTATTTGGTAATATAAATGTATCCCTTACTATCTGAATTTGGGAACCGATTGATACGAATAGTGGGGGATGCTTGTAATTTATAATGACCTTTGGAAATGAGGATATTATACATCGCATTCATTACTAACGGAATGAGAAAAAGGATGTCCATGATCCCACCTCATTAAGGAATTATAGGCCGGGCGCGGTGGCTCAAGCCTGTAATACCAGCACTTTGGGAGGCCGAAGTGGGTGGATCACGAGGTCAGGAGATCGAGACCATCCTGGCTAACATGGTGAAACCCCGTCTCTACTAAAAAATACAAAAAAAAAAAACCTAGCCGGGCGTGGTGACGGGCGCCTGTAGTCCCAGCTACTCGGAGGCTGAGGCAGGAGAATGGCGTAAACCCAGGAGGCGGAGCTTACAGTGAGCCGAGATCGCGCCACTGCCCTCCAGCCTGGGTGACACAGTGAGACGCCGTCTCAAAAAAAAAAAAAAAAAGGAATTATGTGTTAGTGTAAGTCAGACTAAAAAGGCCCTACGATAAAGTGCAAAAATACAGAACTTCAGAGCCAGAGCTGCCTTAACATCACCAGTGTGATGCCTTCAATATACAAACAAAACTGAGACCACATGCCTGAAGCCACATGATCCGCCTGCAGCAGTCTCATGAGTAGAACCCAGCACTGCTGCCCAACAAATTCTCAACTACACCAGACGCAGGTCAATTTCCTTTCCACAAACACATAGAAAAGTACAAATGATAAATTACTTTGAAGTATTCACAAAAATACATGCCTGGACATACCTTTAATGATACTCAACACAAACACAAAACATGAATTTTTACTTGATGTCAGATCTCTTTCCTGTTACAGGAATATCTGTGTGAGTTCACTGGAGGGTAAGACGTGCATGTGAGCAGCATGCTTAGGGGAATGGCAAAAAAGAAAATCTGATTAATGCTGAAGACAACTTTACAATTGTTTTCTAACATGAATTTTTCTTTTGGTTCCCTCACTGTTTAAGTTCAATTATAGTATTTAACTTTTAAAGTGCCTTTTGTTTTTTCTTGTAGGTGTCACTAAATAGCCTTGTAGCTATTCTACATCAGTTATAAGGATTTTTCAATTATTAAATTTTACCAAATTTAACATTAAAACCGCTCATTAATGATCATGTATCTTACACTTAGGAGAAAAGGCGTAGAACTCAAGAGCAATATACCTTTTTTTTTTTTCCCAAGGAGACAGGGTCTTGCTCTGTCACCCAGGTTTGAGTGCAGTGAAGTGATCATGGCTCACTGCAGTCTCAAAGGCCCAGGCTCAAGCGATCCTCCGCCTCAGCCTCCCAAAGTGTTAGGATTACCAGCATGAGCCACCACACTCAGTAAGAGCAGTATACTTTTGAGGTATAAAGTACAAAGAAAGCTTGAGAAAAAGAGCAATGGGTGGTCCATTGCGAGTCTTGGATCTTGGATCCCCGCAGTTTTGCACAACACTGTTATCTATGGACTCTAAAATGGACTTCATTTAAAGAAACCCATGGGGCCGGGCGCAGTGGCTCAAGCCTGTAATCCCAGCACTTTGGGAGGCCGAGACAGTGGATCACGAGGTCAGGAGATCGAGACCATCCTGGCTAACACGGTGAAACCCCATCTCTACTAAAAAAATACAAAAAACTAGCCGGGCGAGGTGGCAGGTGCCTGTGGTCCCAGCTACTCAGGAGGCTGAGGCAGGAGAATGGCGTGGACCCGGGAGGCGGAGCTTGCAGTGAGCTGAGATCCGGTCACTGCACTCCAGCCTGGGCGACAGAGTGAGACTCCATCTCAAAAAAAAAAAAAAAAAAAAAAAGAAAAGAAACCCATGGAACAGTAATAGAAACATAAAGCAATATGAATTGTGGCATTTGAATCCTAGCACTTGGGGAGAGCATCAAGTACCTTTTTTTTTTTTTTTTTTTTTGAGACAGAGTCTCGCTCTGTTAGCCCAGGCTGGACTGCAGTGTCCACAATCTTGGCTCACTACAACCTCCGCCTCCCAGGTTCGCTATTCTCATGCCTCAGCCTCCCAAGTAGCTGGAATTACAGGTGCGCACCACCATGCCTGCCTAATTTTTGTATTTTTTAGTAGAGACCAGGTTTCACCATGTTGGTCAGACTGGTCTTGAACTCCTGGCCACAAGCTATCCTCCCACCTTGGCCTCCCAGTGCTAGGATTTCAGGTATGAGCCACCATGCCCGGCCAAGGGTTCAAAAATTATAGCCTACCATCACAATGCATTCAAA